GTGATTGTGAGTGGTCTTTGGGTAGGCGACCCCCGGGGTGGGCACAACATTATCACATGACACACACGCAGCATCACGTCACATACACACAGCATCACGTCACACACACAGCATCACGTGACACACACATGCACCACGTCACACACACAGCAGCACGTCACACACAGCATTACATGACACACACAGCATCACGTCACACACACATGCATCACGTCACACACACACAGAATCACGTCACACACACAGCATCATGTCACACACACAGCATCACGTCACACACGCAGAATCACGTCACACACACATGCATCACGTCACACACACGCAGCATCACGTCTCACACACACGCATCACGTCACACACACGCAGCATCACATCACACACACGCATCACGTCACACACACACAGCATCACGTCACACACACATCACACACACACAGCATCACGTCACACACACGCAGCATCACGTTACATACACACATCACATCACACATGCAGCATCACGTCCCCCACACACGCATCACGTCACACACATGCATCACGTCACACACACGCAGCATCACGTCACATACATGCAGCATCACATCACACATACAGCATCACGTCACACACACGCATCACGTCACACACACATATCACGTCACACACAGTATCACGTCACACACACGCATCACATCACACACACACATCACGTCACACACACGCATCACATCACACACACACATCACGTCACACACGCATCACATCACACAAACACGCATCACGTAACACACACAGCATCACGTCACACACACATCATGTCACACACATGCATCACGTCACACACACACAGCATCACGTCACACACAGCATCACGTCCCACACACAGCATCACATCACACATGCAGCACCACGTCACACACACACGCATCACGTCACACAAACACGCACCATGTGACACACACAGCATCACGTCACACACACATGCATGTCACATACACATGCATCACGTCACACAAACATGCATCACATCACACACACATGCATCACGTCACACACAGTATCACGTCACACACACGCATCACGTCACACAAACACGCATCGCATCACACACACAGCATCACATCACACACATGCATCACGTCACACACACATGCATCACATCACACACAGCATCACGTCACACACACACATCACGTCACACACACGCATCACGTCACACACGCACGCATCACGTCACACACACACATCACATCACACACACACCACGTGACACACAGCAACACATCACACACAGCATCACGTCACACACACGCAGCATCATGTCACACACAAATATCACGTCACACACATGCATCACATCACACAAACACGCATCACGTCACACACACAGCATCATGTCACACACACGCAGCATCACATCACACACACATGCATCACGTCACACACAGCATCACATCTCACACACACAGCATCACGTCACACACACATGCATCACGTCACACACACACAGCATCACGTCACACGCATCACGTCACACACACAGCATCACGTGACACACATGCATCACGTCACACACACAGCATCACACGACACATACACGCATCACATCACACACGCATCACGTCACACACACAGCATCATGTCACACACATGCATCACGTCACACATGCAGCATCATATCACACACACGCATCACGTCACACACACACATGCATCACGTCACACACACATCACGTCACACACACGCAGCATCACGTCACACACACGCACAACATCACGTGACACATGCATCATGTCACACACACGCATCACATCACACACACGCAGCATCACGTAACACACACATGCATCACATTACACACACACAGCATCACGTGACACACGCATCACATCACACACACATCATGTGACACATACAGCAGCACGTCACACACACACGCATCACATCACACACACGCATCACATCACACACACACGACGTCACACACACAGCATCACGTGACACACACAGCATCACATCGCACACACACGTATCACGTCACACACATGCAGCATCACGTCACACACACGCATCACGTCACACACACACGGCATCACGTCACACACGCAGCATCACGTCACACATACACGCATTATGTCACACACACACTCATCACGTCACACACACGCAGCATCACGTCTCACACACACGCATCACGTCACACACACAGCATCTCGTCACACACACACAGCATCACGTCACACACATGCATCATGTCACACACACACAACATCACATCACACACACACAGCATCACATCACACACACGCACATCACATCACATACACGCATCACGTCACACACACGGCATCACGGCCTACTGTAACCTTTGGCTAAAATCAATTTCAAGAAAGCCCCACAGGAGATAGAAGAAAATCCAAAAGGTCAGTGTGAGGGAGAAGTGAAGGCCAAGGAAGCAGCCTTCACGTGCAAACTGCCTTCGGGAAAGGGCCATAAGGGAGTGTGTTGGACTAATGAGCACTGTTTGTAGTTCCGTCTGGCCGACTGCCGTGTCTAAGTCACTGTCTGGAGATGGCAGACTTAGGAACAAGGAAGAGAGGCTGAAGAGAGGCAAGCCCAGACGATCATTCAGTGGCCAATACTGTGTCCTGGGCCTTTGCTCCTTGTCATTACAAGACAGCTGTGTTGCACTTTTGAGTTGGACTTGCGCCATCTGTTGATGATACTCATAAATGGCCCCTTTATTCAAACCTTCCTTTCTCCAACATTAAAGATAAACACACTCTCAATCTGCAAAACCCACTATACTTCCTCATCTAAAAACAAGTAAGTAGTACCTTGAATTTGTAGGGCTGTGCGGTTCTGATGAACTGGGAATGCAGGGCATTTTCTACAGACTCCTTTCTGTTTCCTGAGGAATGTTTCCGGTGCTGGGAAAGGTTTTGAGCAAAACTGGTCACTCTCTGGCACATGGTGTTATTTTATAAAATCAGACAAAAATGCTTAAAAGAAGATTATAGAGCTGGTGGCATTTTATTTCTAACAACAGTGAAACCAAATATAACGTCCTAATATCTTGTCCTACCAAATATCCCACGGTTCTCTGTTCCTCATCCATGATCAGCGCCCAACAAGAACCCCTTGTGATCTCCGTATTATGCACACGCTCATTCCTAAGATCTTAGAGAACACACTTTTTTGTTCCCTATTATAGATCTGCATTCCTTCTCTATGTGGAAATTCCATTAGAATCAATGGATGTTCCCTACCTGGAACAAGTTCAGAACTGGCAATAAAGATTTATTGTTCTGATTAAGAGAAAGTTTCCATTCCCAAACAGCTTCAAGGTAAAGGTTAAGTTAGAAAGTTGTAGAATGTCTCCAGGTATTACATAATACATCCACTGAAATTCCAGTGGCTAGGCCCAATAACAACATAAATCATTGTTAAGAGCATGTAGTTTTCATTAACAAGAAACAAAAACAAAAACACGTATCTTTAAAGGAACCCATATAAAATATTATGCAAACCATAGGCTTTGAACTAAATACATTTATTTCTAGTTTGTGCCTTATCAATAAGATTTACAAATGTCAAGACATTTTAAACCTAATACCCAATCCTGTAATATTCTGAAATACAAAAATAAAAAAACCTACAATACATAAATTATTATTGTAATAAAGAATTAATAGTATCATTATTATGATTATCATTAATAATCATAACTATTATTACTAACAGTATCTCTAAACTCTCTATTTACCAAGAATATAGATTTTTCAGATATTATTTCATTTAATCCTTCCAATAGATTTGTGAAAGATATATTAATATGGCCATTTTGTAGATGAGGAAACACACAGAGAGGTTAAGGCTACAGCTCAAGTTTATCTAGCTACCAGTAAACAAAATTAGGACTCAATCCCAGATCCTTCTTACCCCAAAACATGTACTTGTATCTGCTATGATCTGGTTTACTATGAAACACAACTAAATCTTGGCTCCTTCACAGAAAAACAGAGATGGGTAATTTCATTCTGGTTGGGCATTTACAGAAAAGGCACTGGGGAACCTGCCCTTGCAAGCTCCACGCGGGGCTGCACCAAGGCCACAGTTAGTTGTTCCACCTTCCACTGGGAATCTCACAGCAGCAATGTATATTTTGTTCAAATGAAGTAGATGACATCTCCTTAAAGGTATCCCTATGCCTTTAAAATCTATTTTTTAATTAAATCATAGATGTCCTTTAAAATCTTAATAAAATATTTTCTGTGTGAGGTTTGGGGTTCCTTTTGTGTTGTGTTGTTTGGGGCTTGATTTTTTTTTTTTTGAGACAGAGTCTTACTCTGTCTTCCTTGGTGGAGTGCCATGGTGTCATAGCTCACAGCAAACTCAAACTCTTGGGCTCAAGAGATCCTCTTACCTCAGCCCCACAAATAGGTGGAACTATAGGTGAACACCACAATGCCTGGCTATTTTTAGAGATAGGGTCTCTAACTCCTGAGCTCTGGCAATCCACCTGCCTCAGCCTCCCAGAGTGCTAGGATTATAGGCATGAGCACTGAGCCTGGCCTGTTTTGTTTTTATTTTTAAAAGCCAAGTTGGGCTTTCACTTTACCTGATTCTTTATAAATAAAAGCCCAAAGAAGCTTGAGATTCTAGGCTTTTTACATGTTCCCACTGCAAACTGCCTTTCTAGTCTTACCCTCACAACCATCTGACTCTTGTTCTCCAGCTTTGAACAAAGATCTCCCAGTCACCGTAAAAACACACCCCGGTGTCCGAGCGTTGTGCCCCGACAGCTCCCACTCTTCTCTCAACAAAAGAAGGCCTAAAACTACCTTTTCTAACGCTGCCCCTGATTTCTAGTAAGAATTATTCCCCTCAGGTTGCTGAGCTGTGAGGGAAATTTTGAGAAACAGGCAACATCTTCTCATCTCCAAACTGTCTCTGATGACTTTATAGATTGAATCCTATTAAGTATTTGACATCGATGTTTGAAATGAAAGAAATGAAAAACTGGATATCTGTCCCTCTAACCTGTCTCATCACATTGCATCTGTGACAACACAGCACATCCTATATACTGCTTTGTACTGCGGCTAATTGCATAAATCTGTTTTTTCTAGAATTTATAAACTCCTGATCTCCATGTTATCTGCGGGCCAGTGTGACAACTCTTAGCATAGTACTCTAGGTATAGCAGAAAACAAATGTCCACAAACACAAATGGCCATTTTAGAAAGTATTCCCATCTCAAAATCCCAAGTCATTTCTCCAAAACTACAATTCCTGATTATTCTTAATTCTTCTAGGCTACTTGTTAATTATGTTACCTTATGTTTTCTGCAGATGATGTTGTAGAGGGCTCTGAAATTTTTCCTAGTGTAGCTGCTGCGGTACGCTCGACCAATGAGGTATTCTATTACCAGTCCAATGTCAATCAGTGTTATTCTGTAGCTGGCGAGGAGGGCATGCTGCAACAAAACCATGGAACGAATGGTAACAGTTAGCTCTCTTTGTGGAGTACCTCTTCGCCATGCCATTAGAACAAATCATTGCAAAAAGCTACACATGATTTTTAACCAGTTACAAGCTGATGAATATGATCAACTATTGATACAATCAACATTACAATCATAGATATTAAACGTGAGCTTCCGTCTGTGCCCTCAGTCACTAGTGCGTGTGCTCTCTCTCTCTCTCATTCCCGCTCCCTATCATGCATACAATCACATACACACACACTTGAATAAAATACATTTAAATATAGTTTCTAACTAGAAACAACTACAAAACAGAAACAAAATCATGAAGTATATACTGAATGTGTGTGACCCAAAATTAACATGGGGTTAACTTTTCACTCTCTCTGTCAAAATGGATTTACACTCTGCACTGAGTTGATGACATTATATATAAAACAAGAAAATGGAAGGAAGTAGAACAAAATTAGGACACAGAATGACAGCACCCTGTAACCAATGAAAACAGGAGGCTGTGCCCAGACAGATGCTGTGGATGACAGGAGGGGGACTGAGTGGCACCCTTCGAGTATGTGAGTCTTAGTCGAAATGAAAATTATTTTGACCCCTGAAACCTCACCTTACTACTGCTTCTGACTGTTCACTTCTCAACTGCCAACTACAGTACATTTTTAAGGCACACAAGGTTCTAAACAAGGTCTCTGGATGAACAGACTGTAACTAATGTTCACAAGGCTTGAAAAAGAAATAAGGTTAATTATGTATGAATGTAAATAATTTAATAATTTATTTTGTTCAGGGACCATCAAAAATCTTATTCTCATTGCTTTTAGTTAAAAGCATACTTAACCTATTTCATCACTTTTTTTCATTTATTATGATAGTGTTTGAGGAAATAATTTAAAGAAAATCATTTTGATATAGCATAAGTCAAAGCAATCTAAATTTATATCCACATGGACACTTTTTCTTATTACTAATTTGCGAACTGAATGTCTCGCTTTCACTCTGGCTCTCTCACCAACTAGCATAACCAGAAGTTCCCATTCTTTCTAACAAGATATTAGACTTCAGAAAATGAGAGAAGCACTTTTAAAATGTGTCTTAGGTGAATTTTAACCATAGTGACAAATAAAAAGCACTCCCAATTTTCTGGGGATGTGAATAAAAGTTATTGGTAATTAAGAAAGAAGAAACTAAGGTATAAATGTCTATTAAGGTTAGAAGGGTTTTCTGGTAACTAACAGGGGATTAAATGATTTTATCAAAAATCAACAAAAACACCATGAGCAAAACATGAGCAAGGGGAGAGGGCAGTGGGGTCCTCCCCGAGTCCTTAGAACGATGTTTACACTCAGACTCACAAAAGCATCCATGAGCTATCACCACTAATATTCAAAACAATAATAATAAAAATAAGGAACATATCAGTCCTGCAATAAAGATAACAAAAGCACCAACTTCTTTATTAATCATCACTGCCACCATTACACTGTCACACTAAGCTAAAGTGTAGCATGTGTGTCTGTTTCATGTTTTATTTATTACCAGCTCATGTCCCTTCATTGGTAGATAAAATATTTTAAAACATAAAGGAAATTAAGAAAAAAATGTACGAGTGTGCTTTGGGGATGAAATTGTTCAAAATCACAGCTAAAAAATATAAGTAATTAACAAGAAAATCCAATTCTATATTTTGAGAAGCAAAATCTGGTGACCACTCTATCACAAAGCTAAAGCAATATACACAGATATTCTCAACACCTTCATAATTGAGTTACCTGTTTTACATCTTGGAGAAGATGATGTAAGAGCCTGTTAGTAGGTCCTTGTTTCTGTGATAAAGAACAAAAGAAAGCATAAGTCTCTTTCATTACCATGTGCTGAGGAAAAAAAGAAAACTTTATTTCAGAATGTGTAAGTAATCCAGAATACTAAAGATGTTCCACATCTTTAGTAACAAAGTAAAAGCCAATTAATTCTAAGTCTCTAAGTGAGGTATGTCCCAAGAGAAGAAGTAATTATCATAGAAGAAATATTTTTCAAACTAAGCTGTGTGTAAGTACATAGTGAGGACATGTGGTAAGAAACAGAAATAAAATTTAAGTAATTTATAACTATTCTTTATCACCTATAAATGTTACTATATAATTACAAATCCTACCATCCAAGGACATTCCATCAACAGATACTTATTGAAAGTTTGCTGTGTTCTGTCAGGAACTCAATGACAAGTATAAGCCTTGCTTTCCTGGAGTGTTTACAATAAACTTTCATTAAAAAGTAACCAATAGGACAAGGTATGAGAACAAAAAGAATGGCAATAATTTATTCTCTAGAAACAGATCACTGACAACTAGCTGGAGTACTCAAGGAGACAGGACTTGAATAGTTCTTTGGAAAAAAGATAAGATTCAAATGACGAGCAGAGACATTTCAAAAACTGTATATGTGGCTTCAGCAATTGGTGTTTCCACAATAAGTAAATGAGTCTAGTTTCAAAAAAGGGTTGCATAGGAAATGCACAGGAACAATATTTTAATAGTGGCCTTAGGTTGAGATACTTCCAATAACTCAATATAAAGCAATTTGTTCTATTCACTTTTTGTCTTTAACTAAGTCTAAGATGAAATGGAATTGGGAAGAATGTTTCTCCTTTGATTGAAAATTCTCTTTCTGTCTTTAAGCTACCTTTGTACATGAACATTCAAGGAGACAAGTAACTCTCAAGCTAAGTAATAAGCAAATCTTAAGGGAACCGACTGACAGAATTTTCCATACTCACTGTGTTATAGAGTTCTTCCAGCCGAGGTATGGTCAGAAAGCGATGGACATTCACTCCATACTCTATCAAGAGTTTCACAAAATCCACTCGATCCATCACTAAAGCATCTAACATTGCTTGTTCCAGTGCACCAGGCTTCAAAAGGTGGAAATGAGTAAGAGATAAGAAAACACATAAGGAAGTAAAAATTAGGAGAGAATTATACATGCGTGAACTCAAAACTGCATAGGCACAATAATTATAAGACACAGTCTCGGGAGGCACCTGTGGCTCAGTGGGTAGGGTGCTGGCCCCATATACCGAGGGTGGTGGGTTCAAACCCAGCTCTGGCCAAACCGCAACAAAAAAATAGCTGGGTGTTGTGGCAAGCGCCTGTAGTCCCAGCTACTCAGGAGGCTGAGGCAAGAGAATGACCTAAACCCAGGAGTTGGAGGTTGCTGTGAGCTGTGTGACACCACAGCACTCTACTGAGGGCAATAAAGTGAGACTCTGTCTCTAAAACAAAAAAACCTCAAAAAAAAATAAACAAACAAAAAGACACAGTCTCACTAAGAAACATGCAGAATGTCTGAATAAATGTGAAGACGTCTTGAATAAATCAAGTAGTGTGCCATGTTTGGAGATGGGAGACCTGACTATTGTAAAAATTTCAAAGATTCCTAAATTAATGTAAAGACTTTATGTAATTCTAATAAAACCTAAGATCTTTTTCTTCTTCTTTTGTTATTGTCATGTTTCCATTTAAATTATACGTGGCTTCTGGGTATAAGGAAAACATATTTATCCAATTTTGCTCCCACCCAAAACTTCATTAAAACTGTAGTATAGGGACTTTTTTTAAAAAAGAAATAAATACCCAAGGACCAGAAAGACAAGAGTGAGCAACATTTTGGAAGCTGAGGAGCAGATAGGCAAGGGGAAGTTCCCAGAAAGCCAACTAGATGAAATGGAAAAAGTCAAGAACCAAGCTGAGCCAGGTACAGTGGCTCACACCTGTAATCCTAGCTCTTTGGAAGGCCAAGGCAGAGAATAGCATAAGGCCATGAGTTCAAGACCAGCCTGAACCACATAGTAAGACCCAGTCTCTACAGAAAATAGAAAAATTAACCAGGTTTGGTGGTGCAGGAGTCTGAGGCAAGAGTATATCTTGAGCCCAGGAGTTTGAGATTGCAGTGAGCTGTGATGGTGCCATTGTACTCTACCTGGGGCCAGAGTGAGACCCTGTCTCAAAAAAAAAAAAAAAAAAAGGAGGAGTGGCACCCATAGCTCAGTGGCTACAGTACCAGCCACATACACTGAGGCTTGTAGGTTTGAACCCAGCCTGGGCCAGCTAAAACAACAATGACAACTGCAACAAAAAAAAATAGCTAGGCAGTATGGCGGGTGCCTGTAGTCCCAGCTACTTGGGAAGCTAAGGCAAGAGAATGCTTGAGCCCAAGAGTTTGAGCTTGCTATGAGCTGTGATGCCACGGCACTCTACCCAGGGTGACAACTTAAAATTCTGTCTCAAAAAAAAAAAAAAGAAGAAAGAGCCAAACTGCTCTATGCCACAGATCCAACAGCACTAAGATGAAATAAATATATTCATGCTGATTCTCTAAAGTTTGTGCCTTCCCAGTCATCTCCTTATTTGACCCCCATAACACAAGCAACAAGGTTTATACTTCCCAAGGGGAATTAGAGGATTCTTTTCTGGTAATGTCAGATTGCCCAACCATGAAGCTGAAACCTATAGGCAGGCTCCAAATACAGGCTGGGTATATCTAATGAGCTTTCTATCCCCCACCCTTAAACAAAAAGACCAAAACAAAACAAATCAAAAAACATCAATTAGAACAAGATAATGTGGGGTGGCGGGGTAAGGACTTCAAAGGCGCTATCATAAATTAGTTTGATAGCTCATTGATCAAAAAGATAAAGAATGTACTCTGGATTCTGATGAAGAAAGAAGAGGATACAATCAGAGAACAAATTTGTTCTTAGAATTTAGTAGATTAACAGTATGCTGCCAGAAGAGAAAAGCTTCATGGAGGGCTCCAAAATTAAAGCTGAAGAAACTTAGCAAGATGTGGAACGTGATAAGAACATAAAGAAAGATAAGAAGAGATAAAATTAGAGGAGTGATGCATAGGTCCAACATCCAAAAACAGAAATTATAGAAAGAGAGCAGAGAAAAATGGAGGGAGTCATGAAGTAGAATGGAATGAAATGGAAACACACAATTACCCGATTGAAACCAGATGCCCAGCATTTAATGCATTTACAAACTCACAGCACACGTCATTGTGAAATCTCAGAACACTGGGAAAAAAAGATTTTTTTTTAAATGGTCACAAAAGATTGAGGAAAAAATTATTTCTCAACAGCAATGCTGGGTATTAGAAGCTGAGCTTTCAAAATTCTACAAGAAAATTAGTTCCAGTTATAGATTTAAGTATAGCTAAACATCTAAGTCCTCAAAATAGTTCTCTCATACTCTCTATTTTAGAAAGTTACTTAAGTGATATAGGGCTCCCCCCATTCAAGGCTAGACAGTGGACACCAGTTTTCCTAGGTTTAGGCAAGTTCATGAAGGGAACACCCTGACCTTGTGCCCTTGAGCTGGTGGGACTGCGTTCATTCTTTTGTCATTAACACTCATTAACAATGAAAACCTGTTTCTATTTGCCAAGTTCTGGCCAGGTATAAATTCTTAAGACTTAATATCCCAAGATAAAAAGCCCACGTAAGAGACTCTTCAGGTCTTTATCCCTGCCAGGAGCTCTGGTGCCTTTTTCTTCTTCTGCGTTCCTTTCTGATTTCTACATAAGTCCTATCTTACCACTGATCTGTGGCCTGTGGATTCATTCTTCAAATCACCAAGACCAAGAACCCACTGAAGACGAAAATTCCAGTAACCGAAGAATGTGTACCATCAAAATAAAGGAGTAACCCAAGGAAGAGAAAGACCTGGGCACAGAAAACAGGCACTGTAACACAAGAAAGAGGCGAAGGGAATCCCCAAGATAATGAAGGAGATGACTGTGAGCACCAGGAATGAAAAGCAACCAGTCTACCAGGAAGCTGTAATGCCTACACGCCAGAAATGCTGTGAAATTGTTAGGTAGACAGTGAGGGACTCCTTAGAGGCAAAGGTGGATGCCCTGCCTAGGTGCTACCTTGAGCAACTGTCCCACCTGGAAAGGAGGACAAAGGCTGGGGCCCAGTCCTGGTTCTACCACACCCTTGATCTTGCCCCAAGCAATTTCCACACCTGGGGGAAGGAGGAACAACCTGCCCATTTACTAAAGAATGCAGGGAGTCCCCAGCCCTGCAGCCAGGTAGTCCAGGCACAATAGAATCTGGAAAGTGATCTAGAGTAACCTAAGGCTAATTACCCTGTCTTTAACTGTCCATGAAAGTGGTCAGATGGTGGCGTCTAAACCATCAGACGGCCCAATCAGACACTGTAGAACAAGACCACAGACCATAACCGAGGTCTCCTATTACAACAGGGGGCTGTTCGTAATCTGTAGTGTATGTATCTTGCTCTTACTCTATAAACTTTATCTTACCCTTCCTCAGTAAACTTCCATGCTTTCTTTGCTTTCAATGTGTCTGGTCATTTTTTGACCAAGAACGCACCAAAAACTGAGAACAGACTACAACCAAATAAAATGTCTAAAACTGATGAATCTGAAAACCACAATATGATATTATATAGCAGTAAGGAGATTTGTGAAAGTTAGAATAGTCAAAAATGTCCAAAGTACTAGCTGTTGTGATTAGCAGAGTAGGGAACTACCATCTTCTTTTAGTGGCCATCTAATATCATTTGACTCAAAATAAGATACCTGTAGTAAAGTCCCAACTAATCTTTAAAAATGAAATGCTAACATTGATGTACATAGCTATGATTTAATTTTAAAAAAAGAAAGAAAGAAATGCTGATACTGATATGCATTGGTATTGAATAATCTTTCCTCCTTTTTGTTTTTAGTAATTTCTACTGTGAGCACTTACTACATTTTAAAGCAAAAAAATAAGATAAATTTTAGATTTTAAATAACAATATAAAAATCTACCCATCCAAAAAAATAAATTAAAAATCCTTTTATTCTCTCTTTCCCCAAACTTCCTTTTTCAGTTTCAATTAGACAGCAGAATCAAAGAAAAATGTGTTTTGTTTTTTGAGACAGAGGATTACTCTGTTGCCCAAGCTAGAGTGTCCTGGCCTCAGCCTAGATCATACAAATATCCTTAAACTTCAAACTCCTGGGTTCAAGCAATCCTCCTGCTTCAGCCTCCCTCACCCCTCAGAGTAGCTGGGACTACAAGCATAATACTATACCTACCATAACATGTGGCTAATTTTTTTTTTTCTATTTTTAGTAGAGATGGTGCTTACTCTTCCTCAGGCTGATCTCGAATTCCTGAGCTCATGCAATCCCTTGACCTTGACCTCCCAGAGTGCTAGGATTACAAGCATGAGCCACCATGTCCAGCCAGAAAAAATGTTTTGAGGGAAGCCAAGTAGGTAAGAGCAATGTCTTAGCTGCCACAGGAAACCCAGCTACAGAGATGCAACCTCCACATTGCCTCCAGACCAATCCACCTCTCTTCTGATTTTCTCTTTTGCTCCTCCCTAACAAACCAACACAAAATAGTTTGTTTCCAACCAAATAACTTCACTTTCACTGTACCTTCCAGTGCTGTCCGTAAATGAGGATGTGTTTCTTGGCGATGTCCATTCTGTCCCAGGCCATTGCCAGATGTAATTGTTCTGAGGCTGATAAATTTGTGCCTGGAGCAAAGGAAAGAAACAACCACACGTTCATTCCAAAAACCTAAGAAAAAAGCACAGAACAGCTCAAAATGTCAGGAGAAGGGTTGAGGGACAATTGCAGCCCCATTCAGCTACTCACCCCTCAGCAAAGCAGTTAGGATTGCTACATCAAGGTCTTGCTGCTCTTCAGAATCAGCATCAAATATAGTAATCTGTAACAGTGATAAAATGAGAAAGCCATACGTTTGGGGAACTATCAGAGAAAAGCTTTCACAAAGTTCTCTCAGAATTCACACTTGAGCTAATGAACTGAGAAAAACATTCTTCATTTTGTAATGTCTAAGCAACATAAATTTTTAATTTTTTTTTTTTTACTTATAGAAGAGAAAAAAATTTAAATAGGGTAACAAAGAATTATAAACACTTGGGGGGAAATAACTAAAAAGTCCACATTGACTAGAGGAAATGTTTATCTAAAAAATGTCATTGCAGAAATTTACTATATACATAGGACAAGAGAAGAACCTCAGTGTTAATTCCTAATGAAGGGACAGCAAATGAGATCCTTCCGTTCCTCTAGGCTTAGAAACTAAGACTTTCACTTTTTAATGAGAAATCATTAAGAGTTTGTTATAAAATAAGCAAGGTAATTTCAATGGACCCAATAAACAAGTAAAAGGGACATGGTCTTTACGATGTCAAGTCAAATAAGGACTATAACTCTCTATGTAGTTATAAAGTGTCACCTGCTATTAATGAATGTATCACGGTCTTTCCAACTTGAAATATGTTTCATATAATAGAACTGTTTCAGTTTTTGTGTTTGTTTTGAAAGAGCTGGTTTAACAGAAAAAAAACAAGACTGGCAAGTCCTATTCCAGGTATGCCACTAACTAGCCAACCTTGAGTAAATATCTTAAGGCCATTAAATCTCAGTTTTCTCAACCACAAAATGAGAGGAACCTGCTGGATTATCTCTAAGGTCTCATCAAGGTTTAAAAACGATGTTTCTACCACAGCCCATGTTGGTTCCTCTCATTGGACATGGTCTCTCTCATGCATGACTAAAGTCGACCCTCCATTGTACCAGAGCTGAGAGCCCAGTTCCTGTAATATGCAAACCCCCAGGGGCCTCCTCCTGCCCCTCTTAATCATTACACAGCTCCACTGGAGGACTCAAAGAGGCAAACACGAGGGCAATCTCCTTCACATGTCCCTTGCATAACTTATTACTGTGGAAAATACAAAGTGTAGTCGACTAAGAACTAGGTGCCAACTCTGAGCTCCAGCTTCAGTTCTACCACGTGTTAACTGCATAACTGTGCACGGGACTTAAATTCTCTAGCCTGCAGCTTCGTCATCTCCTGAATAGAAATAAACAACCACTGCCATGTTGAACTCACTCACAAGGCTATTTTGGGTGAAAAATATATATATTTGAAAGCACACCACCCATTAAAAACATGATTATTGTCATTATTAGGTCAGATTAAATTCCAAAGCTTTTTTCACATATGTTTGGTCATGCTTTCTATATCCTGAACTTTTTCAACTGTTTTTTTAAGGCTAGGTACTTAAATATTACCAAAATTCTTGCATTATTTGGTCCAGCCTTCAAATTCTGGAAATATCACTTTGAATCATGGCATGTCAACATATTTACTATAATTTTCAGCTTATACAAGTCATGGATAAGAATTTTAAACACAGTAAGCTAAAACACTGAAAACTTTTCCTGAGTCTACATTAAGGTCATAGTTTATAGTTTGTGACCTTGATCTTCTATCCCAGAGTTTATTTCCACATGTCCCATTGTCCAATACCTTCCTAATGGTCTCCTACAGAATTTACGCAGGATGCTGGGATGCAGTCCCCTAAGCCAGCAGAGCTGTTCCCTTACACTCTGAAAACAATTATGTGTACCTTTCACTAAATTTGATAATTTTCTGCAACACTACTATACTATCCAAGTGCTTTTTCTCAGGTAAAGTCTAGAATTTAAAGCATGAACACTGTGAGTAGAGTGAGAAATAAGAAGCCAAGTTTACTGAATTGATGGATCAAATTTGCTGATTATATATTCTCAAGGTCAACGTGAAAAAATTCCTTACTTTTTAAAATTCTGAAAATAAATGTCACGATTATAAATTAGCACGTCACAAATCGGTTGAGTCGTCAACTCTTCATACTCACACAATCCCTGTGTACCATGCACTCCATTAGAATTTGGAAGAGGTGCTTAGACTGTTTAAGATTAAAGTTGAAAGTGCTCTGAATCATACAGATGATCTCCTCCTTCACTGGAGGATGCAGCATCCTGGGAGAGAAATAAATGGTTGTGACTTGATGCAACCCAGAGAAGAACAAGCCACCAACATCAGTACGAGAAAACCCATCTGTCCCACACAACTGTGTCTGTGGACAGTTCTCCCCAGAGAGCTATGAGCAGGAATCAGCTGGAAGCAGGGGCCATAGGAGAAGGCTGAAGATGAAAGTGAGAATTGGTTGATCTGCCATAACCCTGAAAGAATCCATTCTGGGGTAGAGTTCTTGACCTGATAGATTTCCAGAAGGCTGTGAAATTATGGGCATCATATTCTCCAAAGATTCTGAAACCCCGAAAGGTTTAAGAACTACTCTTCCAGAGAGACTTCAGGAAAGGGAATGGTGTGAACTGGTAGGGAGAAGGAAGAAGTAGAGAGCTAAAGGATTAACAGAGAGAGAAATCAGAAGGAAAGCGACTCCAGAGCGCTGTTACAACATGAGCCGTGAATAGATGCATACGAAATAAATTAGTGGGGTCAGTGTTTTAGTTCTGGAGCGTGTATTTATTTACACAGTAGAAATATCTTGCTTTTGAAACTGAAAGATTCACACTGGAGACAGGGATGGCTAGAGAAAAAACAAACTATCTTCTTACTAGAAAAGGGGAAAGAATTAAAGCCTGAAATACACACAATATAGGCTATGTAATTCTGGAATAGCGATTTCCCCAATTCCTTCCATTTTTTAACAATGGCAAATGAATCTGAAGAGGATCTGAGGCCAAATACTAGTCTCCTCCTTTACTGTGGGGTCCTTTCAGCTGTCATGGCCAACTGTTCAAGCACCTCCTCCCTCACTGCCCCTGGAAATGCCTTTTCCTGAAACTCCATGGCACAAGCTTCCCTGTCAAAGGCAGGCTATTCTATAGCTAAGAAAACAGCAACTCCCATTGGTGGAGGGTATTTGGTGTTATCAACAAACACAAAGTCACCGGGAAATGAATTCTAGCTTTGACCTCTGTGCTCCAAGGGACATCAGCGCATATAAAGGCACAGTTTGAAGTACTAAAACAGAGGAACAGATTTTCCTTTTCCAGAGTTTCAGACAGGAAGAGTCCATAACTCACCCTTCATCCAAGTGTTTGTGAGTGAAGGCCAGGAGGTCCGCAGCTCTGCCCGTGCCTTCCAACACCACCACGGGCTCCTTGTCCCTGACAGTCTCCCAGACGGAGAGGATGACATTGGGACCTCCTTCCATCACCAGCCTCACCACCGGCACGCCTTGTCCTGAGCCTGTTTCAGACCACAAACAATACTACAGTGTTACCAAATAATCCCTCCCTCAGCTTGTCAGCCCCTGTGGTTTCCAGACCCAAGTCCCTAGTTACTACATATATCCGTCCCTTGCACTGACCTCTCCTTCTTGTTTTTCCCAAGCTTGCTTACATCAAGACCAAGCCAGAAGCTTGGATGTCCAATAACATGTGGCAGGAACATGGTGAGGGCATTTTCAACCTTTTGCCAAATAAGAAGGTGGCTAAAAGCTGACATTGATTTTTGAAACAGGAAGTAGTCCTCAAGAAATTTTAACCTTTCATTGTATGAAATGACAAAAGAACCTAAACGTAAACAGAACACTATAATGTATCCTTGGATCAGAATTGGGCTGGAAAAGAAGGAAAAAAATTTTTTAAGACAGAGAAAAAATATTTTTAATGCAAATTCATTCATTAATTTAATATAAAAAAAGGAATCCAAATGATCTCCCAAAAATGATCAACCCTCACTAATTAAAAAAAAAAATTGTAATGGTGGTATTACAGACAAAATAAATTTTTACACTTCTCTTTATTCCATTTTTCACAGTTTGAATTCTTCAGTCATGATTGGATGTTACTTTACTAAAGCAAGGAAAACAAAAGGAAAGGAATGACCAAAGATTATTTTTAAAATGATATTAAGCAAAAAATTATAGAATAATGTGAATAGTATTATCTTGTTTATTTTTAAAATCATAGATATGAAGTTTATATGCATGCACACTCAGGTATATTTACAGCATGTTATAGAAATGACCAGAAAGCTCTGGAAGGATACAAATCAAACTATGAACAGTGGAGAAGGGAAGGGAAGGTTTGGGGAAATGCTGAAAAGGGACTGTGTTTATTCTACACATTTTTTGTTTCATTTATGTTTTTACACCACACATATATAGATATATTACATTTAAATCACTATTTTTAATTTTACTTTTCAAAAGAAGATAAACTGGCAAGCATACACTCACTGGCGCCTGTAGCACAGTAGTTACGGCACCAGCCACATGCACCAAGGCTGGTGGGTTCCAGCCTGGCCCAGGCCAGCTAACCAACAATGACAAATGCAACCAAAAAATAGCCAGGCGTTGTAGTAAGCGCCCGTAGTCCCAGCTACTCAGGAGGCTGAGGCAAGAGAATTGGTTAAGCCCAAGAGTTTAAGGTTGCTGTGACTATGACGCCAGGGCCTCTACCAAGGGTGACATAGTGAGACTGTCTCAAAAAAAAAAAAAGAAGATAAATTGTCAAGCAATACATTCACTGCTAATCAAGAGAGGACTTTACTCTGGGTCTCCATGATCTCAGGGCCCCATTCTGGCCTTTCCCCAGCCATGCCCCTCCCCTCACAGTGAGGCATCTACAGGGCCAAGGTTCACAGCAAGCCTGTGCGTACTCTCCTACTTACCAGAGTACCCAAGACCCCCAAGTCCATGCTTCTGGGCGTGCTCTGCAGCTGTCCCAGTGTGTCCTCCCCCAGGACATACTTGCCAGAGCAAGAGTCAGCTTTGTAGGGAGAGGGGTAGACAGAGTTCTGACATACAGGCTTGAGTGTCTAGGGGACCACATTGTATGAGGCCCCTTGACATTGCTGGGTTGAGCCAAAAGTAGAAAGAGAAGCAGAGAGCAGGCCGCAGGCCAGGGCCAAGGTTTAAACTCTGCCCATCACCACATTCTGGCTTGGTACTTCTAAAAATCCAAGAATTCCCAACTTAAACCGGGCCTTCTAGCTATCTGTGTCAAAATAAAAGGCTGGAACAGATTCTATATGTTTAAATATAGTTTATAAGCTTTATAAGATTAAATATAGTTTAAAGCATTTAAATGTTCAGACATATTATATTTGGGGTTCACTGTGTCTTTTGGGCTCAGACGTTCCAATGTTAGAGGTAAGGGTCTGTTAGCAGGCATTCACAGTATCAGGAATTACTCCAGGCCAGGAGCGGTGTCTCATACCTATAATACTAGCACTCTGGGAGCCCATGGGCGTGGATTTCTTGAGCTCAGGAGTTCAAGACCACCCTGAACAAGAGCAAGATCCTGTCTCGATTAAAAATAGAAAAACTAGCCCGGCTTTGTGGTGGGCACCTGTAGTCCCAGCTACTTAGGAGGTTGAGGCAAGAGGATCATTTGAGCCCAAAAGTTTGAGATTGTTGTGAGCTATGATGCCATAGCACTCTACTGAGGGTAACAGAGACCCTGTCTCAAAATATATATATATATATACACATGTATATATATATTCCATTTAGTCTATTTAATTGCTTTGATGTTCAATTTCTTTCCCTTTTCCATATACCTTCACGTCCGTATTATTTTCTCAATCATATTATAAAAACAAATATAAGATGTGCCAACTAATAGATGCAGAGTTTCTCTAAAATAACCTTATGAAAGCTAAGTGAAGCTAAGGGAAATGGTAAAATAAAATACCGAAGTATTAGGAAAAAATTTAGGTGAATAATTCATTAATTTTGGAATAGAAAAAACTTTTAGAAGAGAATTTCTTATATTCTCATCTTATAGAATATGATACAGCTATTGAAAATGTGCCAAATTGGCTCGGCACCTATAGCACAGTGGTTACGGTGCCAGCCACATGCACTAAGGCTGATGGGTTCGAGCCTGGCCTGGGCCTGCTAAATGACAATGACAACTGCAATAAAAAAAAAAGCCAGGCGTTGTGGCGGGTGCCTGTAGGGAGACGGAGACAAGAGAATCACTTCAGCCCAAGAACCAGAGGTTGCTGTGAGCTGTGACACCACAGCTGTCCACCAAGGGCAAAATAGTGAGACTCTGTCTCAAAAAAAATAAATAAATAAAATGTGCTAAATTATACTTATTGACATGGAAATACATTCATGTTTAGCAGGGAGAAAAGAATTCAAAAGACATACAGCTGAGCATGGTGACTGTCAGCACTTTGGGAGACCAACACAGGAGGATGCCTTGAAGCCAGGACTTTGAGGCTGCTTTTTTCCAGCTGTGGATTCCCATGTATTAACATAATCTCTCTGAATGCTCCATGGCAGGGGCCAACTTGGGCCTCTATACTCTACACAGAGCACCTTGATCCTGAGCAGGCCCCCAACCAGATGTATTGGCCAAGCCTCTCTGATACTCACGACTGTGAATTTTCTGCAGAGAGAGGTACTTCTCCAGGTTCCTTCTGAGCTTCATTTCGTTTCCATACTTTCCCACGGTGCCGTCATCAGAGAGGATGAAGTGTGAGTGCATGCTGTTGAGTGTGGTGAGCTTGCTGAGGGGATTACCCAGCGCCTGGTACAGAAACACCACCTGAAGGACAGCAAGGTCAAGAGAAGGTTCAAGATCCTTCCCTAGGCTTGACTGCTCCAAAGGCCTGTCTATCACTACCAAAGTTCCTGGTTGAAGTTAAAAAGCATTACTTGCTATTTAGAGCAGTGTTTCTCAAACTATCTTTGGTGAAGGAACATTTTTTTAATTGCCCATTTTTGACAGAAACAATGTGTGTTTCTATTATGCATAACTAAAGGTGTTGTTGAACTTGAGACTCACAAAACAAGTTCAACAACACCACCCCTACATACCATGTTCAACAAGATCAGCCCACTCTCCACGTGACTGGGTGTCATAGCATGGTCACATTGTTAACACCAGTTTTAAATATTTATTTTCCATTTCTGAGCTCACTTATTTCAGGCCATTAAAAACGAGTTCAGGGACAAATGGCATTTCATTCAGTACAACACATCAAAACTTGTATTATATTGATGGACAATTTTCTTAAGCTATTCCTATTCTCATTTGCGTGAAGAGTTAAGAGCACAGTATTTAGAATCAGTGAGCCCAAGTTTAAGTCCAAGCTCTTCTATTTACTAACTTTAATACTGAGTAATTCCCTCCTCCTCTCTCAGGCTTAATTTTCCTCACATATAAGGATACTGATGATGATAATTCCTAGTCAGAAGGTTGCTATGAGGCTTCAAATAAATAATGGGCATAACAAATTTTACAAACATTAGACTTTAAGAGTTGCCTTTTAAAGTGACTTTTAAAAGTGACTCATGCCCATAATCCCAATACTTTTGGAGGCTAAGGAGGGAGAAATGCTCGAGGACAGGAGTTCGAGACCAGCTTGGGCAACATAGTGAGGCTGCCTCTCCACAAAAAGAAAAATTAGCCAGGCATGGTGGTGTGCCAATGTAGTCACAGTTACTTGGAGGCTGAGACAGAAGATCCCACTTGAGCCTAGGAGTCTGAGTTGCATTGAGCTATGACAATGCTACTGCACTCCAGAATGGGTGACAGTGAGAACCTGTTTAAAAAAAAGAAACTCCTTATAATTCTAAAGCATGACACTGAGGCCAAAGACCAAAAAGAAAATGATTGTTAGATTTAATACATATCTTGGCTTTTTTTTTTTTT